TWWTWWTTTTTTTATACTTCGCTTATCTTACCTTTGAATTCATTTATCGCTTGTATCAGCGCGTCTACTGCATCCATAGAAAGGTGATTCGATCCTTCGTCAATGATTAACAAGTGAGGACGTTGATATGCTAAGACGGCAAAACTAACTCTACTTTTTTGGCCTGGAAAGAAAGAAAAATGTACGTCGTTGACTCAAATTGTCAGGAAGTCACAAAGAAAAAGAAATTCCAATTTTAATCTGGTCAAACACAACCATGACTATGACAGAACAACGAGCAAAGTTTATCGTCGATGAATCAATCTTTTCATTGTTTACGTACCCCCCGAAAGATATCGCATTGGTTTCAATGCATCTGCGCCCTGAATTTGAAAGCGACCTAGAAAACTCCGTATAACCTGGTCTTCTGCACTATTAAATATATTCAACAGGTTTTCAACAGCAGACAGGTCAAGATCAAAGCGTTCGGAGTGATGCTGTGTGAAATGTCCAATGCGAAGACCACTGTTGACTACGACACTTCCTGAAACAGGCCTTAACTGCCCCATGATTAGATTCAGAAGCGTTGTTTTCCCCTGCGAAAAATATGAATGAGCGAATSTGGTAAGAAGGATTGATGGMCATTTCAGGTTTTGTATCATATCGTTCTTCTTTATCTTCACTTACCTGACCATTTGCGCCAAGGAGCGCAATTTTGGAGGAGTTGTCCAATCCAAAATTGACTTTTTGAAGCAAATATTCTTCTTTAGTTTTTTTYGTCCCATCTCTATGTTTTAAGTTGTAATCAAATGTAACATCGTTTATTGCAATGATTGGACGACCCAAAGGCTCCGAAGATGGAATTGAAAATCTCCAAACTGCATCCATAGTGACGGGCTCGGGTGCTTCTGCATCCATTTTGTTTACAGCCTTGATCCGGGATTGAACTTTTCAAGACATTTGACGAGTTACAAGATGAGAGGACAATTCCAGGATCAAGTTGAATTCGTTGCTGATATTTGCTGATCTTTCAACTTACCGATCGTTGCTCGTTTGGCATTTGCTCGAAATTTTTCAATAAATTCCATCATGTGGTCTCGTTTTACCTTGTATGCTTCGTACTCGCGCATTTGGTTCTTTTGCTTTTCTCCCTTCAGTTTTACGAAATTATCGTAATTTCCCCTGTAGTAAGTGAGTTTCTTGTCTTTGAAWTCGATGGTGTCAGTACAAACCTCATTCAAAAAGCCTCGGTCATGCGAAACGGTGATGACAGTATGTGGGTAGGACTTCAAGTGTGCTTCCAGCCAGAGGACCGCCTCTAGATCTAAATGGTTGGTCGGTTCRTCTAACATTTCGAGTGAGTAAACCATGCAAACATKCAAAGAGTGAATAATCAAGTGTTGAGCAATGGGTGACATGTATCGAAGTTATTCTGAAACCACACGAGATCAATACCATAATACTGGTTGTGCTGAATATTCCTTTTGATGTAATCACTTACCCAACATGAGTATATCCGGTTCAATTAATAAAGAGGCAGCAAGTGCAACACGCATTCTCCAACCCCCACTTAAGCTTTTGATTGGCGATGCCTGCATTTCGTCGGTAAATTGGAGACCGCTGAGAATTGCTGTTGCTCGTGATTGCGCAGTATCAGCTCCCAAAAGTGTCAGTCGTTCGTAGATACTACTTAACTTCGCGAGATCTTCCGAAAATTTCTTATCGTCCTCGGCAGCTTCGGCTAAGCGTTTCTTCCGCGCTTCAACTGTGTCTTCGTTGTCATTCTTGCTCTCTTCGGCTCCTTTGCCTTCCAGGCGTGCTGTTAGTTCTTTTTCTTCTTGAAGTAATGCTACCCTCTCGATATCAGCCTCTAATACTGCATCGAGAACMGAAGTTTCTTCGTTCTCCGTGTGCAATTCTTGCTTCACRTGGAGAACTCGAAGGTGTCTGGGAAATCCTTCCAAGTCTTCCCAGTTCGCAATGCGGTTTAAGAGCGTTGTTTTGCCTAGTAGAGAAAGCCATTCATTTATCCATTGTGAACAGATGATGAGACGAGGTTATTTGTTTCCTCACCTTTTTAAGAAGAGTCATACTGCCCCTCCCCCCACTGTTCCYKATGGGTTCATTTTYTCAAAGGATTACTTGCACTTACCTACACCATTCTCTCCAATAATCGCATACCTTCTTTGGTATGCGAAGTTCAGATCGCCTTGATCTAAAAGATTCATTCCATTTTCAAGGGCGAGAGTAATCCGTTGCACGTTGACATTCATGTCTTTGCCCTTTACGGTGGGTAAAATCATTGCCGAAACACCAGCCTTCGTAGATGTTTCTTGGCGTTCGTTTTGCCTTTCCAAATCTCTACGTGATTTTTCCAGATCTTGSCGTTGCTTGCGTTTGTCCTTAGCTGATGTCTTATTTKTATACGCATCAATCTGGGTATTCGCGTTTGCCTTAACTTTTGAGTTCGTACTCCACATGCTTTCATCTTCGCTGCCATTGTTTTCTGATTGCTTCTCCAACACTGATGACATGTTTACAGCACCCTGGGTGAGTTTTTGCATTTGGCCCGAATACCCTTCAGCCTTTTCCGTTGCAGTTGGGGCAGAACTTTGTAGTCGTGTTCGAATGGCAGTTGCAGCAGCATCTATTAGCTCGGTCGGGACTCCGATCGAATCCAAGAACGGAACCATGTTTTCTTCTAGGATTTCATCCACCTCGGATAYATCATTGCCTTCAATTTCTTGGAGTTGAGCAACAAGCAACCCTGAAATATACGGCAAAAGCTCCTCAAGTTCGTCGTTTTCCTCTTCTTGATTCTCCAAAAGGACGCTTTGGAGAAGTTGCACTAGATCCTCCTCCTCTACWGCATTCATTATTCTTCGCTGTCTTGCTTCGTTGATGGTTCTGTTTTGAAATCTGTTGATGTCGCACTTCCTGATGGTTGTTAGGTAAAATGACGACTTCAAAAAATAAAAGATCGGTCTCAATCCCAATCTAGACTGGGGTAAAATTGAAAATATTGAAAATAAAAAATTATCGATTTTTTTCAATCCTAATGAAGACCACGAAGTTAAAAAGTGAGCGCACGAGTTTGACTACCGTACGTATGGTACCTTACATACGTACGTACATCCATACTACTGTACTGGTTCGCTTGCGAAAACTTGATTAGGGGCCCATTAATAAACCAGTACTGGGAACTACCGTATAAATCTTTGATCTTTTACTCAATCTTGGTGCCCCCAATTAGAATCTCTCCCTTCCCGATTTCCATTTTTTAGTTRATTCATAACCTATTTTCTCCCCAGGATGATATTATTCCACGTGGAATGACGAAACACCCTGAACCCATCACAAATCGCAATCTCAAAATCAAACGGTATTTTTCCTCTCAATACTGTAATCGTCCTTTCTTCGTCCAAATATTAGAAGTTCCACAACGATGTCATCTCGTCTGAACAAGCATGACACCGCAACTGGTTAAATGTTAACCGAAATTGAATCCCATTTTCCCTAGAAGTCGCGAAAAAGCAAACGATAAATTACAATGACGACGACGATACCTCGGTACGAGCTGTTGCATCACGGCGCAGCGGCCAACTCCTCTCCGAAGGCGATCGCCTGTCTACCAAACACTGGTGGCGATATCCTTCAAGGACGGGACGAGGAGTGTGGCGCTGGGTCAGAAGTAGGGACCACAGAATTGATTTATGCGAGCCATTTGATGTTAAACGTGGCGAAACCCATGAAGTTATTTGTAGGTAATGCGAAAGACAGTGGCGACGAAACAAATGCGGTGAAGAATCACGAAAAGATATGGAATGTAGAACAAACACTTCGAACAAGCACCTCGCTGACTGCGGAAGAGGTCGAGACAGCTGCTGCAAACGTCTCAACAAGAACTGCCAAACGTGTCATCACTTGCGTAGTACAATTAAAGTGGCTATCGCATCAGGAYTCGSCCAAAAATCGGAATCRCGATGATGTATTAGTCTGTGGATTTTCCGACGGAAGTTTGACCTCTTGGTATCGACCGTGTGGCAGTAAAGACTGGGAAGAATACGTTCTTCTTTCGCATAGCGAGGGATCCAAGCACAAACACTTTTCGTCTGACGAAAATTCGAATAAAGACGATGTTACTGMGATGAAGGGAAGATCGATTACGGACATTGATGGATATGTAATTTATGGCAATCACGACGACGAAGAAAAACAAACATTGAATCTCTCTATAGTAACSTGCTCTTCGGGAGGTGCTCAATACTTTCAATTTTCGCTGCTATTGAGCATCAACGGCCGCAATGATGGAGCTAGTACTKGGAGACAACGAAAAGAGCCACAGTATGCGGCGATAAAGGATACAAAAAATGTAATTGGAACTCCATCGAACACTGTGAAGTTCCATACAATAGTTTCGAGTGAAGGAGAAAAATCAACTCGAYATACGATTGATGGAAAGCAGAACATTCKTGGAATATTTTTGGTGGGGACAGCGGCCCCTCGACACAACAAAATTCACGTTCTAGTCCTGCCTCCTACTGTACAGGAGAACGACATTCCGGCTGCCCCGAAATATTCTGGATCTCTAACAGGTCACGAAGACTGGATTACCTGTTTYGATTGGAATACGAACTTTGAACTCACTTTTGTACACAAAGCTAATGATGGAGAGAGTGGTGCGATTCCTACAGTAGACTGTTGTTATCTCGCAAGTGGCAGCCAGGATGCAAAGATTCGGCTATGGAAGTGGGTAACAACAACTTGCAAAGTGGAAGATGAGATCGCATTTTCCGAMAGACAGATTRGAGATTCACAGGCATCAATAAAAGAGCAAGGTATTTCTAGCATTGACGAATCAGGAGACGGTGATCGTAATGTTGATGTTGCCGAYGACGATGATGACGACGACGAGGAGGAAGTTATCGAAGGAGAAGCGCGTTTGGAAATCCAACACTACGGCTGTTCTGAAAAAAATCTACTTAAAACTTCGGTATATCTCGAAGCACTACTSATTGGACATGAAGAAATGGTTACATCAGTAGCGTGGCATCCTAATCCAAAGGCTCTGTACGACGAAGAAATGATTTTGGTTTCGAGTAGTATGGATAGATCTATTTTTATCTGGAGCGTCACTGATGATGGAGTCTGGACGCCCATATCTCGCGTCGGTAGTCCATGTGGAATCCTGGGAGGTCCAGTGGGAGCTTCACTTCTTGGCTATCTTAACATCCAAATCGAGCCACATTTTGGAAGATGGATCATGGGTCATGCCTACGGAGGGGCTCTCCATTTTTTTTCATGCGAACGAAACACCGAGGATAGAAATTTGAATGTAGAAAGTAGTGAACAAAGTCATATGAGCATCGAAGAACGAGCAGCTCTTGTCAAATGGAAGGCTCAGCCTTGCATCACAGGACATTTTGACGAGGTTACTGATCTGTGCTGGGAAGCCATCAAAGGAGAATATCTTATCACCGTAAGCAACGACGCTACTTGTCGTCAATGGGCACCCATKACTAAATTKCTMGATGCGTGGATCGAAATTTCAAGGCCCCAAGTTCATGGGTATACGCTTTCAGCTGTTACATCTCTTTCTACTCCTGATCACGAATATCAATTGGTGACAGGTGCCGATGAAAAGGAGTTACGGGCCTTCGACGGGACAAAWTCTTTTCTCCGCATGCTTCGCTTAATCTCGGAAGCRCGAGGTGAAACAAATTGTGGTGSTACCAGAAATGAYATCTCTCGAGTCGATCGTGCGTACATGCCTTCACTGGGATTRAGTAACAAGGACTCAGCTGCTGATGGTGCCGACGAGGATACTGCAGGAGCATCCACAWCGAGTACGTTACTCCCGATAGAAAAAGACCTTGGTTCGACTTCTCTATGGCCAGAGGTTCGCAAACTATACGGGCATAATTCTGAGATTGCAAGACTRACGTCAACCCTTTCAGCGAGAACTTGCTTATCTACTCAGTATTCCACTTCTTATTTCAATCAAGTTTTGGTAGCTTCCACGACGAAGGCGAGAGATGTTAATACAGCAGCTATTCGACTTTGGGATATTAATGCGAATAGATGCCTACAGAATTTACAGGGTGGGCATCGATCCACGGTTACTGCCTTGAGYTTTTCACCAGATGGAACRTATCTTGCATCTTCGGGCAAAGATCGTCGACTCTGTGTATGGAAGCGACGCACGGACGATAACACCTCTGCACAAAATGAGTTGTTTTTCTTGGCATCAGCTGTGAACTCTTCACACAAGAGAATCGTATGGAGTGTTCATTTCTGCCCACACAACCCGACAACTCTTGCATCTGGATCCAGGGACGGGACGATCAAACTTTGGAAGATCACGGAAGGTGCAGGTCAAGGGGATCAAAACACCACGGTAGTGGAGTATTCAAAATTTGTRCCCAGCGTTGATGTCGATACTGGTCATGCATCGAAAGATAAACCCGAAGCTGTAACAAGTCTTGCCTTTTCACCCTGCAAGTTCAATAACCAAAAYAATGGGGTCATCGCTATTGGTTTGGAGAATGGAYTTATTCAGCTTTGGTCTGTGCCAATAATTCCAAGCTTAGATGGCAATGTAGTAGAACGGCCATCGACATTAGCTCTCTTTGACGCCCACTTTTGCCACATCGGAGCCATWTGGAAGCTTGCATGGAGACCCAGAAGAGATGACGAGATTGGTCCGTTTGTACTTGCTTCTTGCTCATCGGATAACGGTTGCCGTATTTTTAGTGTTTGGCTTCACAACGAATGAAGAATTCGATGAAAAGTRCTCTGCTACCMCTGTCATCGATCAAATATCGAATCATAAATTCAAACGCTAATATTTTGATTAGTTGGAGTAACTACGATATACGATATGGTACATCATACTAAGTTCYGAGAAAGCCAACATGCAAGCATAGAAAGAATCTACTTTTTTCCCACGACTGCAGGGACGAGTGTCGCACTACAGATAACGGTTCCCCCCTTTATCAACCAGCGGAAGAAACTTGTTGTTCAGCAAAGCAATCTATGAAATTAGTGCGAAAATTGTTGAAGTCCATGAAGCTATTTTCTCATACAATTAAGTTTGTGTTTTGATACTCGGAGACGAGTGAGGTTAGCGCATTTTCGTTCCATGAAATTAGTGTGGGGCTCTTCTTCGGCACTGGCAAAGATCTTTCTTCAGGTCTTGATGTGTCTCTCTGCACTCTCCAGAGGAAGAGGGCCGAAAAAAAGATTTCGTACGAACCGTGCGCATACGTACGTACTGTCCTTTCTGTACAGTCACCGGTACATCTACGAAAAAGTTCCCATTTTTAATTTTAACCTTCATTTCAAGGTCGTACATTCTTATGCGCTCATCCGTAGGTACGTACCGTTTTTCGATTCATTCGTGTTACGATCAAAAAGCAGCCGTTAGTGACATAACCCTCGTCGAAGGGCCTAGATGTAAAAATAATAATGTTGTTGTTCTTTCGTGAACCGTCGACAAAAATTCTTCCTTTAGTAACAAAGGGTCTTGTCATCACCGACGGTTGGTTTTTCCAAAATCTTCCCGTAGTCGTTTACGYATCCGCCGAAAATTGAGAAGTGGTGGTCGCACATGCCCTAAACGTGACTCTTTCAATTAACGTTCGTCGTGTAACAAGAGCATCTTGGACGAAACAAGACAAACCAAAAATCGATCGTCACATCATTACAAGCTTGATTCCACCAGAATCCAATTAGAAGTAACGCCTTTTCATGACATTGCTTCGTCCGATGCACCTTTTCTCACCAAGTAAACAAGGTCTGCTCACAAATCACACAATCAARTCTACTGGACCCTCATCACCCAAAASTACTTGCATAAAATATTACACGAGATCGTCTTTCAAGTGATTACTTCAACAACATGTACAYCAACGGCAAAGCACTCTACCACTGTATGGCTCTGACCATCGCGTTGTGGCCTGCTGCTAACGCAAACGATTCCGATGGTTGGATCCGCCATGCGCGGAACTTAAGCACAAGAGATTTCATGCAAGAATGTGACCAAGTGCTGATGAACGCAGCTCACATCGAACATCACAGCTATCTCATGTCTCATTTTGCCGACGAAGTTACGGATTTRTGTCACAYGATTGCGCCTAATCCTGACCAAGGATCTTGCCGTAGCACTGGSTTCGAAAGTCTCAACGGCAGTCTGAAAAGGGCCTTCTTCCGCCAGGCAGTTCAGCACGCCGGTACTGCCAACTTCCCAGTTGACTTGGTTGCTTCATGGGGAGATGCTGGCTACATCATATCCGACAAATCAAACGTCGAAAAGGATGCTTTGAGAAATGATCTTTGTTCCGAAGTTTATTCTTCGATTGGAGGTGAGCTATTTTTTCTTCRTCAAACTAGAGTATGCATCGTTATTTCATTAGTTTTAAGCTGACCTAACCACTTATTTTCTCTTGTTTCCTCCGTTTTCATATACTTCACAGAGGACTTCATTGATCATATTCCCGATTCTAAAATTCCAATTGTTTCATCGAACGAACCGAAACGCATGTCACCTCCAGTTTCAGCGCAGGAAGAACCCAGCACTTTTACTGTTGTACAAGTAGAGAAGGAAGACAATGTTTTGAACATGGGTGCAATCATTTCAATTTCTTGTGCCGTCGCCGCTCTCATTGTAGTTTTCTTCTACTTTGAAGCACGCCGTCGAAAGGCAGCACGCGTTTCGCGCTCTCCTCATGGAAATAAGGGGATCGACGACGACGGAGCTACACGGGTATCCACTTTTGCAGGTGGTAGAAACAATAATCGCTTCCGAAACTTCAGACGGTCGTTATCAAGTTCTACAGATGGATCATTCGGCCCAGTTGAAGAAGTCAAAGACGCCATCAACAATGCGGATTGGGATCGTGTTTACAAGTTGGCTTCTCAACTTGCAGAAAACGATGACTCTCTGTCGCTTCCCAGTTTGGATTCATTCAATGCCGAAAACCGCAGCCATCTTTGCGYCGAAGACCAAGAGCGTACAAAGACTTTGGATGAGCTCGCTGCTAGCGGYGACTGGACCGGGCTTGCTGTGACTGCTGCTTTATACGCYGGCGAGACGAGTGCCTCCTCCCACGACATTAACTRTGGTATCGATTCGCCTTCTTCTAGGCGACAGACATTGAGTCCTTCTCAAAGYCAAGACGTTGAAGAGGGCTGTGCATCTATGGAACAGATGGTGTCTGGCCTCGGTGTCGCTCTCAACGCAGGAAACTGGTCACAAGTTTCAAAATACGCGAACCTCATCAAAGACCAAAAGAATGCAKGTAACTCTTTCGATACCGATACCGATGTGATAGAGTCTAGCTCTGCATCGGTGTCGTCAGCCGGCTCGAACGACACAGAAATGTCGAAGAAGCAGACAATCGAAAAATTAATGAGATCAGGGAAGTGGAAAGGCGTGAGCATTATGGCCAATATGTATGAGATGGAATCGAAGCAACAAATTTCATCGACATCCGTCCGACCATACCCAAATTCTCCTTCTCATCCGTACACCGAACGACGATCGATTGTCAGGACAAAGGAGCTACAACACGAAGACCGTGTACAAGAAAACATCGTTAGCTTCCGACAGGACCCGTAAGTTCGCTCACGAACAACCTCTTTTTCAATCAACCRCAAATTGATCTATTAGTTCTTGTTTTCGTCAAGCCKCGTAGGTGGYTTTTTCAAACGGCCTCTGGTCTCGTTTCAATCATAAAATGTCCATAAATGCTAGTCCTTTAATAGTTGTATATACCATACTACATGACCCTCCTTCAGTAKCTAAATTTGTCTRCTGTTATTTGTGCTCCTTGAGCCACGTTAATCATCGCACGTCAATCGTCGTCTGCCGAAGTTCTACGCCGGGCAGCTTTTTGTCCCTTTTTCTTTCCCCTTTTCTTAAAAGCAACCTTCCCCGTAACAGTCGCACMGCTACCGCTTTCTTTGTCCGACGACTGCGAGGAGGCTACGGGTGCCAATCGCTTTGCCCTGTCCTCGACGGAACAGTGAATTTCTTTCGAAATGTCCACGCCTTTGTAGTCCATCTTGCCCCAGACATCGTATGCTCCTAGTGCAGAATCGTCGGCATTGGAGGCTCTRGCTTCTTCCAGTCGCCTCTCCACGATCCTCTTCTTTTCTGCTTCTCGTTTCTGGGCGGCTTGGACTTTCATTTCACTGAAACGCTCCTTTTCCTCCCGGTGTTGCTGTCGAAGAGTTGTTTTCTTGATTGTCACTGTCGACCAACCAGACAGTCCTGTCGATTCGCAGATGTCCTGTTGTTGATCACTCATCGCTACGGAGCCACCATTTTTATTGCTGGAAACATGGATTTCTTCGCCTCCCATGGCTAGCAAACGAGCCTCTTCCAAATTATCGGGGATTTTCTCATCGCCGCCCAATATAATTCGAATGCGGTCTAGCGGTACTTTCTTTTCGATCGTTTCTTCGGCGTCGTCGGGGGATGATAAATAACTCACATGAATAACTGGTGGTTGTAGCTTGTCTTCCGACTCACCRGCGACAGGTTTTGTCCGACGATTTACGACTGCCGCAATTAAAGCGTTCTTCCAATGCCTTATGTTTTCCACTTGTTGTTTTTCGGTGCGAGAAGAGGACGGGCCCGTCCATAACTGTATAGTCATGTCTTCCTCTAGAAGACCAAAATATATTTCTCCTTCTAGATATATCGGGCTGGTTTTGTTTGTCTTRTCTACTTGGTCCCTGACGCTGCTCTCGTGCTTCACTTCGTCTTTGTGTTTTGCGTCGTCATAGGAATAATATCCCTCGCCGGGTAGTATGGTGATCTTTGGACGTTTGGTTACATCTTGTTCGTTGTCCTCTTTGSTATCATGATCTGCTCCGTTCTTGCGCTTTTTAATATTGTCTTCTTGACGCTTTGCCTTTTGGGCTTGCCAATCGATTTTTTCTTGCTCGAATTGTGAGATCCTAGAATGATTTRGTGGAAGAGTTTGRCTAGCGGCAGTTTGTGGAGTTGGTATTTGGGGTTCTCGATAGTTTTGAACACCTGATTGCAACGAGTCAGCGATGGAGTATCCACCTCGTGGAATACCTTGTGGAGGAAGCGAGTTATGGCCGTGGTTACTATATCGGGTAGGCAGATTCGGGTAGCGATTCCAGTCGCTACTTGGTAGTTGCACCGATKTTGCCGGCAYYGGTCTCGGTCTCTTTTGGTTGTGGTTTTGAAGCTGGMTGATGTTGTTGGTCGTCACGACTCCAGTTGATGCAAGAGCGGATTGCTCCATTTTCTTCAAGGAATCCGATAGAAATTTCTGGGCCTTCTCTTCTTGCTCTTTYTTGACTCGTTTTTCSTGCAAGGCACGCTCCAAATTTTCTCTGTGCTTTTTGCCATTTTCGTGCAGCATGATGGACTGCCGGTCGCTTCCCATCCAAACATTGCACACGGCACAGTAATGTCGTTCCACATTYTTCCATGGTAATTGCTGTCGTTGTTGTTGTTGCGATGGCATTGTATTTAACAAAACTTTTGCATTCGGTATCTTTACATCTCCAGGACAGCACTCGTCTAGAACGAAAGTGTGGGATAACGCTACCGTAGTAGTCACGGTAGTGTCATGACGGGTAATCTCAAAAAACATGAAAGTTTTCTAACAGAGTCAGTCGTCGTCCAACATGAACTGTTGGCGGCGACAAATTACTAGGCGTAAAATGCTGGGCCCTATGTTAGATTTTTTTAAATTAAATAGTTTCCCGTACACCCTGTGAAACAAGGAGAAACAAAGAGAATCTTTCTCTTTGTTTAAAAGGGCAATATTATCATTGTTTCTTGTTGTTGTAACAAAGAGAAACTAAGAGAACATTGACTCTCCTTGTTTCTCTTTGTTTCACATTGTTTAAATAAGGAGAAACAATGAGAATATTGCCTGGGCTATGTTCTCTTTCTTCTTGTTTCTCTTTGTTTAAGCCAAGTGAATTTAACCTGGGCACTATTCTCTGTATTTTTACATAGTGAAATGATGGGGGCAATTCCTGTTCATACAAGGAGAAACAAAGAGAATATTGCCCAGGCAATATTATCTTTGTTTCTTCATGTTTAAACAGAGARAAACAACCAAAGAGAATATTGCTTCTCCTTGTTTCTCTTTGATTCGTTGATTTTTAACAAAGAGAAACAAAGATAATATTGCCTGGGCAATTCTCTCTTTGTTTCTCTTTGTTTAAACATGGAAAAACCTATGGGAAACCCTGATCTTGGTTGGTGACTGTCKTCCTTAAAAACTAACAGGGGGCCCAGTAACAATTGAAATTACGTTACTATGCATTGCGGATCAATTGAAATTATGTTTCACTGGGCGTTCCCAATGTTAATTTAACATTCCAAATTTTAGCAGGATAGACCATGTAGAAATGAGTACTGTGGTTTTTGCTTCAATTTAATGTCCTGAATGCTCTGCTTAACAGTCTGAAAGTTAGCAGGGGAGGTGTCCTCTTTTTCCTCTTTTTTAGATCCCTTCCTCCTTTTTTTGGCATGTGCAAGACTGAATGAAGACTGTTGATAATACTAGGATCTACATAGGCCTACATGAAAAATTTGACATTCTGTATGTTAAATAGTAGACATTTGGAACTTTATTTCTAGCATTTGGAATGTTAAATTAACATTGGGAACACCCCGTGAAAAGTACTAATGTCAATTGATCCGCAACGCGTCGTAGTAATTCGTTAATTTAACATTCCAAATGTTAAATTTATCGTGTAGGTTTTACATACATCCTAGTATTATCCACATTCTTCATTTGGTAGCAAAATAGTCTTGCACATGCCTAAAAAGGAAGAAGGGATCTAAAAAGGACAAAGAAGAGGATGCCTCCTCTGCTAATATTCAGACTGTTAAGCACAGCATTCAGGACGTTAAATTGAAGCAAAAAACACAGTACTCATTTCTATGCAGCCTATGCTGGTAAMATTTGGAATGTTAAATTAAYRTTCCCAATGCCTCAATTAACATAGTTTCAATTGTTATTTYATGTGTAGTAGTCAGTATGAGTATCTACATTCTAGTAATCATACAGTCYGTACGTACCAGGTACTACACGTAAAATAACAATTGAACTTTSGTTAATTGAGACATTGGGAGTGTTAATTTAACATTCCAAATGTTAGCACTGTAGGCTGTGTAGTAGAAGTAAGTACTAGGGTTATTGCTTTAATTTAATGTCCTGAATGCTCTGCTTAACAGTCTGAAAGTTAGCAAGGGAGGCATCCTCTTCACCCTCTTTTTTAAGGTATGTGCGAGACCGAAATAATTGTTTGGGGTAGGTAGCACACTACCAGCACATTGGAGAATGCTGATTATTGGAATACTAGTAGTAGGATCTACAAAGTCCTATGGTTGCTAAATAACATTTGGAGCGTTATTTCTAACATTCTGAATGTCAAATTAACATTCCCAATGCCTTGATTAACAAAAGTTCAATTGCTACTTTACATGTAGTAGTACTTTATTATCATTATCATCTTACTCGAACACATAGTGAGAATAAATCACGAGTTTGTTATGAGTCACCTCACTCTTTAGTATTGTAACAAATTATTGTAAACATGTAGTAGTAATGACACTACTACTGCTGCTGTACTGTAAAGAAAAGAGAATACCAGTGCTTTAATTTCACAGGGGTTTTAGTGTAAGAAAGTAATGTACCTCTGGAATGGCAAACAGTTAATGGGGACTCCTCTCCTGAAATATCCACAACCTCACTCTTAATGAGGCCTTGCTCCAGATCTGCTACTAGTAGTCCTAATGGATTTTTTGCTTCTWTCAAAGGGCCAACTTTCTGCATGATTTGACACAATGACATCCCAGTCATTAGTAGTAGTACTAATGGGTAGGTTCTCCAGTATCAATCCCATAAGAGCTACTGTGAGCTCATCCTTAAAATAGTTTGTTGCAATACCAGCCTTCCCGCCCATGATGCCACCAGCGCCAGCTTTCTCCATCTTATCAAAAACAGTGTGGGGGACTGGGAAACAATGAGCTCACCATTTGTGGCGAGCCTCATTCTTGCACCAATTAGCTCCTCCATCTTTGAGGCCAATGGGCAACAAGAATGAACTGCTGCTTCTTTGAGGTCAGCAGCCTCCTCATCCTCCTGCTCTCTTTGCTGCAACAAAGAAAGGAACAAATAATAGTATGTAGTGACTAAGAGCACTGACTGGAACATCGTTTATGTGACATGATTGTTAGAGGCACATGAGCGCCATTGCGAGTTCAGTCATAGATTTATTACATTTAGAACAGCAACTTCTTTTCCTACTAGCAGTTCCAAAAGTAATAAAATTTGAAATTTGTAATAGATTTGCTAAATTTTTGGTCTCTCCTCTGTCTATCAAAAGTAGCAGCAATTTTATCACTACAAATCCAGTAACAATTGATCACGTCACTAAGAAAGTTGTCATCATTATTTTTTAGTACGAATTCTACAGAGCTCTAGTGAGTGTTGCTCCCCAAAATTTTCAGTATGATTTGCCTTCTGAGAAAGAAGCAGGATTGGTTCTCTGCCACCAGAATGCACAGAACAGTTGCAAATTACCTCAGTAGATTTTGTGCTGTGTTCTACTGCATTAAGGATGGTATCATTAAATTCATTGTTACTATGGGAACCACTTTCTTTGTGCTTTGATCAATTGTTACTGGATTCATAGTAGGGAATGACCCACAATTACAGCWCAAACATGGTATGATTACTGAATGTAATCCTCCAGTTGCTCGCTTTTCACMTGTAATCACATGCGCTGGATTACAAAAAGAATACATGTAATCACGCGCTAACAAACACGAGTTAATTTTTTACTTAAATCTTGCACCTCGATGGATTACAAACCTGCAAAATGGATTCCATGTAATCCAAAATTGTATTCAGCGCTCTCATGAGCAAGAGCCTTATTTTTTCCACAGTAGTGCTAGTTGTTTGGCTGAATCAGATTAAAACTCCAAAAACAAAATTTTCTCCTAGGATTACTTGTTTTTGAGGTCAATCACTTTGTTTTCAACTGAGCTCACTCAACTTTGTACTCTACAGTAGAAATCAAAGCTTCCTCTGTATAGGTGAGCGTCCTCCGTATCCAGCTCCTCCATATCAGCAAGGTATCAGCAACTCCTCATATCAGTGTCCTCCGTATCATCGAGCGTCCTCCGTATCGTGTCAGCAGCTGGCTCCTCCGTATCGTATCAGCGGCGCTCACCATGATTGCAGTGATTACATGTGAAAAGCAAGCAACTCGAGGATTACGTAAATAATTGGCCAGCTACTCTTCATAGCAGTAATCAAACTTCAGCCTTGGTCTTGAGCTAATGCTCTCAACCTCATCCTCAGTTTGATTACTGGTGTGAAGCAGATCTAACTTCAGCCTCGGTCTCGAGCAAAGCTCTTGTCCTCGTCCTCTGTTAGATTACTTGTGCTCGACCGCACATAATTTTCTCCTTAAGGAAGGTTTTCAGGTTTTCCAGAGCAGGGGTCATAATTTAGAGGGGTGTGCAACGCGCACGTTTTTCAGCATCAGGATGAAAAAAAATCCATTCCATCTGTGGTACCAATAAGAAAATTTCATCCCCCCCAGGGATTTTTTCAATTTCATTTTTACTGCATAATACTAGTAAATCTACCCAACCTTTAAGCAGTAACAACATTATCAAAAATCCTACCATTGAAATTTTTGAGTACTTTGTATAACTCAGTTTTTCATGAGGATTCTGAATATGCCAATATTTTCAGTGTCAAATGGAATGATAGTGTACCTTTCCACTGTTGAATATTGACTAGATTATTAGTAGAAATTTCTACTGGGGAAATAGTGGGAGAAACGGATGAAGGACAGACATTTCAAATTTTTGCTAAGGACTAGACTGGTGGGACTGACTGGACAAAGGACAGATTCTTTCTACTGTAAATACAGTATTACTACTAGTCTGTACTAGCCTCCTGTTACTACTACTATCACCAGCCCTGTGTCAGCACCTTAAGAATGTTTAAACTGCAGACAGCAATAACAGTGAAAATATACTTACTACTTGCCTCTCAACTATGTGAGAGATGTGCATATCAAGTTTGAAAATTAGAGAGTGATTAGAAGTGTTCCTGTGCATGGGGTCTTTCAGGTACACTTTTTGCGGTGATATGGAGTAAAAATGAAATTGAAAAAAATCCCTGGGGGTAAAATTTTCTTATTGGTACCACAGATGGAATATGAGTTTCGATGCGTTGCGCACCCCTCTAAATTATGACCCCTGTTCCAGAGTACGGATCAGATTACATACGGATTACAGGATTACACGTATTCCGCGAGTAGCTCGCCGATTATAACATAACGGTATTGGTCGCGTCGAAATGAAGCCATCGGAAGTCGAGACAATTGAAAAAAAGAACCAGGAATTCATGATGTGATAACTCTTTTTTGTATTACAGTACCCGGTACGTCCGTATTTTCACGAATGTTGTTCGATCTACGGTAGTCCAATCCGAATAGAAACCATCTTGAACGAAGRWAGAGTTTTCTTAACGGCAGCGAAAAACGAGGGGATGTGGAATGTAAAGATTGGGCCCCGTACGGTATGAGGATCAGTAGAAGTTCAATTGCCTCAAAACCCCTCACGCGCCCTTGCGCGATACGCGCGCTGAGATTCTGATATGCGCTCTTTTGTATTATTTAAKGACTCCGTGCCAAACTTCCCGAGAAGCAAAAGAAGCTGATTTGAATGTTCCAAGTTTGATTCCGATACTTGAGAATCAACAGAACTGTCTTCAAAATTACGAAGGTTGTCGTGAAGCTGATTTGCAATTACAAAATTATTGTGAAAATCTCAATTCCTTCAATCTCTATCGTACTCTTACCTCAAAGAGAGACCCSACAAAAAGAAGTAGGTACTGTAACTCAGTAGTAATCATCATCGACGGTATAAACCAAGGTGCTGCTGATATAAGAGATCCTTATTTCATTAGAAAAGACCCATCGGAATCCATCATAGAAGTTGAAACTTCTGTACGTAGTATGACGTGCTCCAAGGAATACCGTCGCATGAAAATTGAACTCCATATTCAACATTCGAATTACCAGATTATTAGTCTCGGTCTCTTAGCTCTCTTGAATCCAGATTATGATCGGGTTTATCTAATCCATTAGGTTGGTTCCTTTCATTGTTTTTATTAATTTCGCTTTTGACAGAATTTAAATTCCAAAACCTTATTCCAGTCAATATCGTTTGCTCACGTTGAGAAATCATACGTCGATGTATAATTGTCAAAAGAAACAACGCGAGGGCAGTAAGCCGAAACTAAGCCACCGCCAATGCACCTTTCTGTGGTATCTCTTCTTTGGYATGGTGCACGAAGCAACGCACCTGGTCACAGCTTGGTGGCTGGGCTACGAACTGGTTCGTGTCATGTCRCAAAACGCCACCCTGATCCCTGAGTCATCGTCTTCTCCATACATYGATGCATGGACACAMCTTGCCTACGAAGTGATTTTAGGAAGGCAATGCTCACTACAYAATCTTCCCRAGGACTTGGAAGAACCGGTGAAGCACTCTGGGTGGATTGGTAGCTCTCTACTGCTGCTTCTACTCCTTATTCTTCGTTGGAGCTCTCGACGTTGTACGAAACGAAAAACTGCAAGCACAAACGGCAGCAMTGGACCATGCACCAAAATTCAATSGTTCATTTTTGATGAAGTCATGTCTAGTGATATGTTGCTTGCTGCGTTTGTAACGACCTGCGAGGCTATTACAACAGATTTGATTGGAATAGGTCCGATCTTGCCTYTGAATTCGGGTTCTGTGAGACAAGTCTTTTATTGTGGAAATTTTGGTGTTATTTTATTGAATAAATGGTGGCTACAAAATAGAGAAAGTGAATCTGCAGCCCTTGATACTTTGCAGCAAATGGTTGAGGTGACCATGATGAGAGGAGCTCAGTCTGGTGGTGTAGTTGTCTACCATCCTGTTCAAAGCAAAGAGACAAAAGASACGACGACGGCACCATGCTTCAAGGCGGTGCGGTCGCGTGTCGTCAACAAGAAACGAACCGATCTGAGTAAACTAGTACGAGCCAAGGTGGAAAGAGATTTCCGAAGAGCGAAGGTGCGTCCCACATCACTTTCTCAAGAGACAGATAGTTTTGTGCCTCGAATGATGGCAGGACACACTCGTTTTGCGACATCTTCCTTGAGTACATTGGATGGGACCCATCCTCACCAGTGGACCCCTCCTTCTACAAGGCGTGTATATTCTATGGAGAAAAAYGGGAACACTCGGAACAAAAATTATTTTGTCCCAAGRCCGAMTTTAGTCACCGTGGAAAATTATATAACCCATAATGGTGACTTCGATTTTTTTCAATCTCGCGGCAAAACATACGATTTGGAAACTATTCAAGAATGGTTGAGTGTGGTGACAGAAACCGAAATGCCCGCTGTGGTCGACTCTTGTGCCATTGCTGGTATGGTGGATATTCTGAGGACTCAAGGATGTTTCGGACTAAGTGYAAGATACGCCTTGGTTCTGGGAATGGAATCGTCAAACTGCGGTATGAACATGAAAACGAATGAGAATGGTAGAAAACAACGAACAGCRWTGCCTCCATACACGGGATACCTAGAAAATGTTATCGGTTTGGCTTTCGAAAAAGCTCTAGAGGAATTTTGTATCGAGAATGGTGCAACGTGTCTACGAGAAATTGGAAGCCATGGAAGATCCCGCGCCATTTTATCTCGAAAGGCTTTGGAACGACTTCGAACATTGCCTAACGACAGTCTGCGTCCACTGATCAAAGCAATCGGTACACAAACGCTAATGRATTCATTCGGTGCAAGGAGGACCGGCGCGCGCAAAAACCTATTCGACTTTYCTATMGATRATGAAAGTGATGAGGAGTTTGACGGAGATATTGAATCGAATCCCGTCGATAAAAGTCTCCGACCTTTCTGTAGAATGACAATTGATGCATTTTTTGACAACGATTTGTTCATGACTACAAAACTTTTTATGGAGAGCGCTAAGGGATCTTTTGGAATYWGCGTGACTTCGAATCTTGATGCACATAGACAAATGTGCTTAGCAGCTCGAGGGCAAACTATATCAATTGCATTTTATCCGGACAAAGATCTCATTTGTTATGGATCAGAACAGGCAGCTGTAAAGGCGGGGATGAGTACCAAATTAGACAGATYAATTGACAAGGAAAAGTTGGAATCAACTACTTGTTCAAACCGAGACGTTGACAACGAATCTACAAGATTGGACTTGGATGATCTTGGAGGAGAAATTATTGTCTTGGATTGGGGACGCCAGAAATACCAGACTTCGCCTGTGTCGTTGCCTAATTGCCATTTAGAGGAACATCACATGATGAATGGCAAGATTACGGCCATATTGCACCAGGAATCCAAATCGACAAGGACGGATTCTGAGCTCTTTCACAGAATGACGAAACTTTCTAGTAATCATCTCATTCAACCTCTCCAGCCATCTACGGATGACCCTGTCTTGAAAGACATTCAGGATATCCCGTACGTCTGCAAAAATATTCAAGATGACTGGAATGCTCGTCGGCCTATTTATAGCATTGGTGGTTTAAATAGGTTGACAGCCTACAATTTGTCTCGATGTCTCCGAAAACGCCTTGAGCAGCATGTGGCTGGGACCGTTCCCAAGAAGTCTCTTGACATACTCCTTACTGGTTGCGAAGTGTCCTTGTATCTAGCCGAGCAGTTTGCCACCGATTTGCAGAAATCGTTTCCAAAACTATGCATAGAAGCGGTGAGCAGCAACAAGCTATTAGGACTATACGGTCAGGAAATAGCAGTTCCGTCTATTGGATTTCCTTATGCACCACAAACAAGGAATATAAAGGATGCTATAGTTATCATTGTCAGCCACAGTGGCGGTACATTTGGACCACTTGCCTGCTCAAATCTATTACAATCCGCCACTCAAAGTATTTATGTCGTTACTTCAGAATGGGACACCCAGATTGGCAAGCAGCTGCGAATGATGGACGAAATTACAGGAAGTATCTCAAATTTGATGAATCAACGTATATTTTCAACAGATATCGGCATGAGACCAGCCGAGCCGTGCTCTGTGTCTGTGGCAGCTACCCACCAACTACTTACGAATCTTTTTTCATACATAAGTGTTGTGATTTTGAGCGACCCCAGATTCCGTACAGTCACGAAAGCTCAAATCAATGAACAGGATATTCAGATTCTAGAAAAATGCAATGAAATGAATATTGAAGCTTTGACAGAGACTGTTGGACATAATCAAAGAGGTTACCCTTTAGATACGGTCAGTCGACTTCGAAGAAACCTATATGAACTTGGAAATTTGTGGTCAGACCATATTCTTGAGCAGGCTAGAGCATACATAATGKGTGGTGTATATATCTTTGTCACAGTCACATGCGGTTGGCCCTTGGTTTCTTTGATCGGTCGAGGCGTTGGGGTTGTCGAAGGCSATAGAATCATGTACTTTCTACGGTTTCTTGACTCATGCATTTACTTTTGGCTCCCTCAGATCTGTATCATGATCATCCGTATTTTCCAAGGAAGAAATCTTCGACATCGGATGGTAGGGAGAACAGTAGTAATTGGAGATATCCCCTGGGTAAGTAAATCTTGTTTTCCCCAATTTTGTCAAATTACTTATGGAACAAATGAATGATTTTCTAATATCCTGATTCAATRCGGTGGTTGAAACAAAGGTTTCTCAATGCGCTGATGCCTTTTTGAGCAAGTGCTTTGCGGTTTCATATAGTATAGCTGGCTTAAATGTGTTGAGYGGTAATCCATCTGATCACTTYGTCCATCGTCATACCCATCGCGTTGTACGTGGTACTTTGGCAATATTCGGACGCCCAGACGGACGTCTTTCAGCATTGTCAACAGCCGAAGGTTCTGTATGCCTTTCTGTCAATCAAGCTAGTAGCATTCAAAGTTATGGAGGGACATGTGAATCCATCACCATAGGTCACAACCCGTTTACATTGAATCTGTCGAAGACGGCCATCTTTCTTAAACGGCACCGTCCTTTATTTCTATGTGAAAGGTAAGATGACAGCATCATAATGTTGAACGTATATACGTAGGTACTGCTTCGATGGTCCGTCAATTCTCTTTCTTATGGTTGTAAACAATTCTCACGTTCTTTAACAATTCTYAATTTAGACTTCTCGTAGAGGCAGATGCTGATGAAGAAAGGRCTACACGCGAGAGGGAACAGCTTGACGAGAGTGTATCCAGTGATGAATCAGTCGTTTCGAGACACCGCAATAGCCTCGCCAAGAGTTGTAAAAACATATTCACTTCCTTCAGAAAACCTGATATCAGCCCTTTGAACACCTCAATTCACCAGATGATGGATATTAGTATTTCCCTCCAGATTCACAAACGCCGATCCAGTCATGCACTTGTTGGTGCGTACTTGGATATAAAGGAACAATCCAATTCMATCCGACACGCTAGCGACCTTGATTCTGGTGAAATCAACGAAAGCTACGCCGTTGATGATTGCGTTGCTGAAGTCATCAATGAGAAAAAAAGTGATGACCGCCTTCAAAGAGTGTTTCAGAAGTTTGACAAAGATGGAGATGGTATTCTGTCGGAAGCTGATTTTGTGAAGGGTCTTGTGGCCATTGATTCTGCGCTGACCGAATCAGAAGCCAAGATAATGTTCCGCGARGCTGACARTGATCGCTCAGGTGCAGTAGACTATAATGATTTCATTGCATTTCTAAAAAGATTCCGATACGATCAACGAGTGAAGATGCCTCCGAGCAATCGGGACAACCGTGGAATGATCGTAGTACAAGCAAGCAAAGAAAAATACTTTGGAGAGACTTTGCGAAAATACAATGCCGGGAAAAACAAAGTAAAAGACATGGACTTCGTACTAGCTCAGAGTCAACACCTAGTCCAGGAGCTTTACGAAACACGCATTGCATCTATGCAACGTTTCGTAGCCATGTGCGTTTTTTTCCATYACATCAGTAAACGTGTCGAACGATTCTTTGCAAGGATATCATTCGGATAYTGGGGGTATAGACTTGACCGTACGCATAGTATCGTACGAATTGCAACAACAGCCTCTCCTGTAAGGTGAGTATAATATCGGCAAAGAATAYTTTTCGTCTTCTCTCCCTTGCTCACAGCATATTTATTAATATTTTCCGCTGTTAGTGGGTCTGATGTACGACAACGGATCGATGGCTTGAGATTGTTGAACAAGGTACTTCATAGCGTTAGTGCAATTGAAAATGCATATTTATCATATCGTGAACGAAAGGGAAGGAAAGAAAATGAAGTAGAAGCATAATGGATTAGTAACAATTGTTGAAGACACATCTCTACCAGTACTAGAAAACTGAAGATTGATCAATTGTTTGCGTTTTAAATCAGAAGTTTTGATCTCATGATAGTAGTTCCTAGTTCTACAAAACAGTTTTAGTTGAAGCTCATGCRTGATTCAGAAAGACTGAGTTGCATGTGATCATGTCCAGAGAAGAGTTGTTGTTGAAAAGAAAGTAGATTTGCCSTAGGGTTTTTTGATAATTCAAACAGACTTCAGCTCACTGGGGTTGACATAGTGGCCAGAGTTCCATATGGTCACATGCCATCATATGGATATCCAGCTTTGCTCARATCTCACTTCATTCTTACTCCTATATATCACAGCCTCCTTCAGGACCACAGCAACTATAAGGGGCTAAACCAGGTTCCACTGTGTCCATCACAAATCCCAGCATGCAATTTGTCACATAGAAGAGAGAACATCTAGGGYTCAAATGGACTACCCTTTCCCCTCCTTGCTGTTGCCAAACAGATGAAACAGATGGGTGGTACTTGATAAGCAAATGCCTTGATCATTGAGTAAATGATCACTACCTACAGAAGCTACTGGTAT